TATCATCTTGTTTATTTTCTTAGTCATTTTAGGAGCAAATTTATTTTCTTAGTCATTTTAGGAAAAGAACCCAAATTCACTTCAGATCTTTAAAATTGAATGTCACTCTTGACTTCAGATTTTGAATGTTCGAAACAAAAATCTCTAAGAGACTTTCATTCAACTTTCGATATTAAAAACAAAAAGCCAATAGTGTCTTCAGATTTTCAATATACTTTACTTTTTTTTTCTAAAAATATCTTTAAAAGATATGAATGTAGATATTGAAAATCCAAAGTTATTTTTAACTTCGGATTTTCGTTCTCTTGAGTGAGGGTAAAATTGAAATGAAAAAATAACGAACAAAAGAGATAGGTGTTTAATATACAAAAATTAGAAATAATTATTAAAAATAACGAACAAAAGAGATAGGTGTGTAATATACAAAAATTAGAAAGAACTATTAAAAATAACGAACAAAAGAGATAGGTGTGTAATATACAAAAATTAGAAAGAATTTTTAAAATAACGATATTTGTATATAATATATACCATAAATTTCATTAAATTAAAAGTATTACTGCTTAACGTGTTCGACAACTTGTTTGAATGTGACCACTTCTTTGGCCCTTTTGTTTGGAAAACCATGCGGATAAAGACCATAAACCGTTTAATAAAAAATACTTATTTCAGCTGAAAACTAGTCATAATCATAGTAAGCAAATCATAAACATGTGGGACACAAAATTGACGTTAATTTTGTTCTTTTTGGTCCAAACGAACGGAAGGAAAAAAACCGATCCAAAATTATGGAGCGCTAACGTAACTATTAGGATACAAGGAAGTCATAATCACTCTTGTCCGTCAAATTTTAAATTAGGTGGTTGAGTGTGCCATTGACAAGACTCAAAGCTAATTAAAATTTCTGGAAATTCGTCACAACTTAAGCCATCCAATTTGATATCTTATTACCAATAGCAATCGTAACCTCCTTATACAAAATGTAAATGGTTTCACAGTATACAATCGCAAAACAATAAATTACAAGTAAACTAAAGCAATTTCTGCATTTATGATGTAAGTAATTAAATGCTAGGTCATTGTTAGGAGCTTGTCTTTTTTAACAAGTGAAACTCATTCCATAAAATCTGATGAAGGCTAAAATGATTAAGTTTGAATACCAAATTTGGCTTGGCAAGATCAAAGTAAAATTTGGAAAAAGAAAGAGAGATTGAAATGAGTGAACGGGTCCAAGGAATCAAAAAGAAATTGGTTCGTGTGAAAAAGTTTTTACATGACAAAAATTGTATTATGTGGTCAAGTGTGGGAATATTTTTACATTAATTAATTGTCAATTATTGTGAAAAGACGCATTAAAACGAATTGGTATAAAAATATTCCCACACTTGACTCCATGAGAGAATTTTTTCATGTGAAAATATTTTCTAGATAACATTTTCAAGCGAACCAAACGTGCGATGAGAGAAAGATAGGTATGACAATACCGGTCCAATGAAGCAAGAAAAATTTCGAAAAGGACAAGTACAATAGTTGATATTTCCCATATCTAATGATAAAAAATGAATTCCATATTTAAATAAATGTTTGTCTAAAATTTGAGTGTAGGTTTAATTTTTTGAAGAAAATTAAATAAAAATAATTGAAAAACATTTTAAATAAAACTGATCAAAATATCCCTAAATTTATTTTAGTTGATATTTTTATTCAAAATACTTTTTTTATTTTTATTTGATTTTAGTTGTAAAAATAAGCTAAAAAGCTAAATTTCAAATTCATATTAATTTTAAATAAAAAATGAAAATAAAATTTATTTTTAACCTTTAGATGAAATCGGTTATATCTGAACCACAAGTGCTTGTGTACCTTTTTAAGCATTCACATGCCATTGACACAACACCAACCATTTGGAGAAAGAGAACTAGATATAGAAATGGAGGAACGAGTCCAATGAACCAAGAGATAAAGATATCGGTAAGGGGTTCTAATAGAAGGGTGCGGTTTGTATAAAAATGAGGCCCTAAACAATCAAGGTAAGGGATACCTTCAAACAGTATCGAACAATATTGTTTAAGTACTAAATTTTTTTTACAATAACTTGAAAATTCATCTGCATCTAATTATAAAAAGTTAGTATTTTAAAAATAGTGTATATCAAGCAAATAAATGACCACTAAAAAATCTTAAAAATTGACGTTCTAGATAATGCATTACAAGATGCACTATTTCTAATATTTGAAGTCCGTTTTTCTTATGCCTATGTCCTTGAAAGTTGAGATAATTGGATTTGAGGGTATTTTAGCATCTAAAGAGCGAATTCTTAGGTTGCACCTTAGTTTGATTGTTTAAGAGCTTGACCTCATATAAACTTTTTCCATAATAGAAACCTAAGATTTTTTTTGGATAAGCTGTATTTTGTTTTGAAATTACATATTGTCAAAAGTTTCTTGAAATATATAAGGGAAAAGTTTATATAAGGTTGCAACCTTAAAATTTAGAATCATAAATGCACCTCAAAAATCTATCGAAAATATTGTTTTAATGTTCAAAAACCTCTAATCGATCATCTTGACATCGAGATATAGGAATATGAAAAGAAAAAAAATTTTGAATCCCGAAATAGTGCATCTTGTAGCACATTATCTAGACTGTCTATTTTCATATATTTATAGATCTACTTGATTTTAACCATTTTTAAAATTTAATTTTTTTTAATTAGGTATGAAAATAGATTTTAAGATAATAATAATAAATTTTTACAACCAAATTATATTGTACAATTTTAAAGTGCACCGTAATTGGATTGTTTAAGGTTGCAACCTTGTAGAAACCGCACCCAATATATAATCTCTTTTGGATATATTCTAAATATGGATACAAATTAGTTGAACGTCAAATGAAAATATAACGGAAACGCTCTCACATTCGTTGTGCGAGTGACGCAGCACTCACACATCACCCGATGGCTTTGGCGTTACTTGCACGTGTCACTCGCACGCGGGTGTATATCTTCTAGATCCACTGTACATTCATAAGCCCTTCTTTTTGGGTAAATACATTCATAGGCCCTTCGTTTCTAAAGAGCCATAAAATTAACAAAAATTACGGAAGTACCTCATGCCATTAAAATTTAGCTCCCTATGTAATTTGGATACTCATTTGCCTGGCCTGGTCTGTAAAGGGTCGGCTCAGGCAGTAGACCTATTAGGATAAAAAAACAGTAGACCTATTAGGATAAAAAAAAACAAAAAACAAAAAAAAAAAAAAGGAGAAAGAAAAGAAAAGAAAAATAAAAGAAAAGAAGACCAAGCCGCACTACCCTCGAGCCATAATTGCCCGATCCTCTTTGGGTAGGAGCATCTCAAAATATGGGGCAAGGGATCAAGCGCTTTGATTTGACTTTGTTCCCCGGGATCCACCATAGGTTGGGTTGGAGAGCCATGTGACGGGTTACTATCCAGCACGGTTCGAAGAGCACTTTTAGTCTGTGCTGGTGAATGGAGGCCTCTCTCTAAATAAAGAAGTGGCTCTTCCCATGGCGGAGTATCTGTAACCATTGACTCTATTTATTATTACGGTAAATCAGTGCATCAAGATGTCAATATGAGATCTTATTTCGCTTCGATACATCCACCTACGAGACAAACCTTTGGGTTCGTCTCGGTAGGTGTATTATTCTACATTTTCCGAAAAGGACATTCATTCATTTCTTTCTTCCTAACAAGCGGAAACGACGCTACAAATCAAGAGCCGGAAAGGAGAAGGGCCGGTGGTGGGCATTTGGGAAAGTTGGGTCTATCGGGTGTCTTCATTCAAGCGACGGTACAGAGGAAGAACGAAATGAAGTGAGTGGTCGGGGGGTAGGGAAAACTGTCGAGTCGATCAGGGTCGTCCATATTTCATAGCCCAAGCCCTAACTTACCCTTAAGATAGTAAAATCTTTTGGCTTTGAAGCAATTTAAAAATAAGATTATATACAATGAGACCATTTACCTCTTGTATAAGGAGGTCACACTTACTTAAAACCATCTTTATGTAAATTTTGATAGCTTAAGTGTATCACAAAGTTTGAGAAAATTTCTTTTGAACTTTGAGCTTAATCAATGAAATAAATGCAACCACCCAATTTGACATCCAACGATCAAGAATAATTGTGACCACCTTGTGCAAAAAGTAAATAGTCTTATTATCTACTATCATTTTAAATTCCTACGATGGACAATAGATACAGGGGAAATAGGTTTCCCTTTCTGTCTTAGCAAAAATATAAAGGAATCCCCCATCTTTAGCCGAAATATTGATGTCATAAAAAATATAAAGGAACCCCCAACTTTAGACGAAATGTTGATGTCTTAGCCAAAATATAAAGAAAAAGTTTATATAGTGCAGAGGCTCTAAACAATCAAATTTGAGCCTACCTCAAAAATTTCACTAGAAGATGTTGTCGTAATGTCTAAATATCTTCAAATTGATCATCACCACATCAAGATGCATGGACACGAGAAAAAAAATGATTTCAAGTTTTGGAAATGATGTATTTTGTAATGCATTTTTAGACCGTTTTCATAGATATGTTCATCTACACTATTTTTAAAGCTTTAAACTATATAAATAAATATAAAAATATATTTTAAGTCTATCACAAAGATTTTCAATATTGAAATCACATTTCTTGATACTATTTGAAGGTAGGCTCTATACAAAATGTAAAAGAATCCCCCAACTTTAGCGGAAATATCGATGTCATTCTCGCGAAATCCGAAAATTGCGAACTTTTGGCTAAAAGCCTTTAATTTTTAGCCCCCCAAAGTTTCGGGCCTAAAAGTTCGGGTTTTGCTGAGGCCATAAGTAGTTCCATTGGAGTTACAATTTCGGTGTCAATCCCTGATAATCCGTAAACAAGAGGTGGGTAATTTAGTAATATTTTCCACGCTAGTTTCCAATCTGATAACGCAGAGTGGACCCACCAGCGTAAATAAAATGACGCCACCCCCGCCACCCCCACCAACACCACCACCACCACCACCTCTGCATCCAACCCATCCCTCCCACCTCGCTCACTTTCTGCAACCAAATCACCACCTCCTCTTTCTCTCTCTACACAGCCCCCTCTTTCTCTCTCTAAACCAAATCACACCTCAATGTCCTGAATTTACTGGTTCGAGATTTAGGTACCTTCCCTTCTCTCAATTTATCTCCTGCTTTAAAATGAGGTACTTTTCTTTCTCTCTTAATTTGTAATCCTTTTTTTCCTATATAAAATAACATCTCTATCTTGTTGAAATCTCTTTCTAACCTCTCTTTCCTATAAAATTACTCTCTTCTCTTCTTTATCTCTCTATTGGAAATCTTTTTCTAACCTTTCTTTCCTATAAAATAACCCCCCTCTCCAACTCTCAGACCTCGAAATCTCTTTCTAACTCTCAGGTCCTCTCCATTTATCAGTATCTCTTCTTTCTTTTTCATCTCCATCAGTATCTCTTCTTTCTTTCTCATCAACGCGAAAGATGGCAGCCACCATGACACCTGAGAATTCCCTGTCTCTGCCGGAGAAAAGGCAACGCTACTCGGAGGGAGACGACAACCACGACGGTGGCACGAAGAAGATGGCGCAGTCTGTTGTAAAGAAGCCCCGGCGTGATCCTGCGGAGGCCCTGGCGAGCGCTCGCCACGAGTTTGGGGAGCACGGGGGCGTCAACATGTCGATTGAGGCCTCAGCCACCTTCACTGTAATGGAGCCGGAGACCATGAGCCGCATGTTCAAGGGGGAGCTTGGCCCCGATCGGGACTTCTTTATCTATAGTCGCCATTTCAACCCTACTGTGCTCAACCTTGGCCGAGCTATGGCTGCCCTAGAAGCGACCGAGGCCGCGTATTGCACGGCGAGCGGTCTATCTGCGATTTCCTCTGTTCTCTTGCAGCTCTGTCCTTCTGGGTAAAATCTTAATCTTTATTTTTTGGAAAATTATCACAATTATATTTTAATTTTTTCTATTTAAAAAAACCTTTAACTTTCATGATTGTTGCAGCACCTTTTTTTTTCCTTTAACTTTGGGCTTTTTTTTTTTTTTTTAATAACTTTCACCTACTCGTCCATTTTTGTTTAATTTTGGGCTTTTGTTTTTACCAAAATAACGTAGTAGTATTACCCGATATTTTTTTCGTATATATATATTAGTTTTTAGGGTACTTAAAGTACCGTATTTGTTCTTCGATAAGAAAATAATGTGAAGGTTATTTTGATAAAAAAATATTTAGAATAAAAAAAATATGTCCAATGTTGAGGATTTTCTTTCTAAATAGATTAAAATTAAGATATATTTATAATAAATTTTTTTTTTCTTTAAAAATATTATGCCGAGGACCGTACCAAGACCAACTGAAATTTCTTTTCTCTCTCTTTTTTTTTTTTTGTAATATTTTGATGGTACCAATGTCAGACTACCCTAAAACTAGGCCAGAATTGCGATATCACAAATATTCTATGCATCAATCAACACGTCTCTTTAATATTAATTTAAAGGTTGAGGTTTCTATGAGGTTGGAACCTTAAACAATCCAATTAACATGTACCTCAAAATTTTATCATAACATGTAATTTTAGTGTAAAATATTATTAAAATTATCCAAAAATTTATCTTAATATCTAATTATAAAATTTTAAACTCCAAAAATGATTAAAATCAAGTAGATCTGTAAACATATGAAAATCTTAAAAATGGATGGTCTAGATAATGTGTTGCAAGATGCCTTATTTATGAGACTCAAAATATTTATTTATTTTTCATATTTATACATGTCGATGTTGAGATGATCAATTAGAGGGTTTTTCAACATTAAAACAACATTTTTTAAATTTTTTAGGTCCATCTTTAATTCTACATTTTAAGGTTACAATCTTATATAAACTTTTCTCTAATTTAAAACCCTAAACTTTATAATTCGGTGGATTTGATAAACTATTTAATATGAACCCATTTTTCCTTTAAAATGGAATATGCGATGATTCATTTGTAATTTTTGTATTCACTTTGGGTAATAGGTCCCACATAGTCGCTTCCCCTCACCTGTACGGTGGGACCCATGCCCTACTTTCCTCTTTCCTCCCCCGCTCGTGCAACATTACCACCACATTCGTTGACATTCTCAAACCTGACGTCGTACGTGCGGCCTTTAAGCCCAACACACGTGTGCTGATCTTCGAGACCATATCGAACCCAACCCTGGTCGTTGCCGATGTAGCCCAGCTATCGAGCATCGCGAGGGAGTTTGGGGCGAGCACGGTTGTCGACAACACGTTTGCGCCGATGATCGTGTCGCCTGTGTCGCTCGGTGCCGATGTTGTTGTGCATAGTTTGACAAAGTACGCTAGCGGGTGTGCCGATCTCATTGCCGGTGCGGTTTGCGGTCCGGAGAAGCTCATCAATTCAATGATGGACGTCAATGAGGGCGCCCTCATGTTGCTTGGTCCCTCTATGGACCCCAAGGTGTGCTTTTATTGTTCAGTACCGTTCTAAGGACTTCTTTTTTTGTTATGCTATGAGATCATTAATTTTTGATTCAAAGAGTTCACAATTGTTACTAACCATAAGATATTAAATTGGGTAACTAGGGCAGTGTTACAAAGCTTAAGGATTGGATTTTTTTTGTGAATTTTGAGTCTAATCAATAATACAATCCCAACCATCGGATTTAAAATCTGACATACCAGATTAGGGGTATGTTATAAAGTTTAGAGGATTTTTTTTATGAACTTTGAGTCTATTCAATCACCACCAACGTGTTTGTGACCTCCCTATATTAAGAGTAAAATAGTCTCTTTGTCTACTTTTTTTTCTCGTTCATTTTCTCTCTCTCTTTTATGAGAGATGAAATTTTATTTACTTTTCTCATATTGTGCTATTGTGCAGCTCATAGTATGCTTGCTTGTGCGTGGTCCCGTCCTTAGCCTCATTTATAGTCCATGCAATTTATAGTCGATGTATATGTCCTCCCCTGCTTCCAGGCTCATTCATAGAAGCCAGTTGTTTTGCAGTCTACCCTTCCTCATTTTTCTGTTAGAGAGAGAGAATTGTTGTCCTTTTCTCTTAGAGAGAGAGACTCTGAATATCTCTCTAAATATCAATATCTATGAGAGAGATTACAAAATTTAATCTCATTTCATGTACCAATCAATAAAGGAAAATTTATTCTCATTTAATGAATGGTGGCTTCACAATTAAGGGTGTTAAAAGTCTGATTTTTTTTTTTTTTTGCATTCATGCTAATCATAGTTTATATTTTCAATCTTTAAAATTTTAGATCCATAACCATAGTCTGTCTTTGAAATGGATTTTGGAGAGAGGACTCAATTTATGCAGGTGAAGCCTGGGACGCATAAAATCCTTCTCCTTCAATAAATAGAAATAGATACAGTTTCATGAATTTTGATCCCATTCTTTTGAACAAGTACAACGAATTCAACACACTGAGAATACGAGTGTTTCATCGTAAATTTTGATCTTATTCTCATGTTAACTGACATACGGTCCTGTTTTTGTTGACACCTTCAAAGGTTGCTTTTGAGATTGCGGGTCGGCTCCCACACCTCGGCCTACGGATGCGAGAACACTGTCGCCGTGCCTTAATCTATGCCACAAGAATGCGAGAGCTAGGCCTCAAAGTCATATATCCGGGCTTACCCGACCATCCCCAGCACTCTCTGCTCAAACAAATGGCAAATGAAGGATACGGTTTCGGAGGGGTCCTATGCGTGGACATGGAAACAGTAGAAAGAGCAAACAGGCTCATGCATTTTCTTCAAAATTGCACCCAATTTGGGCTCATTGCAGTGAGTTTGGGTTATTATGAGACGCTTATGTCTTGTTCAGGGAGCAGCACTAGCTCTGAGATAAGCCCAGAGGAGAGAGAGAAAGTGGGTTTATCGCCTGGTTTGGTGAGAATGTCGATTGGATATAGTGGGTCACTCGAACAGAGGTGGGCTCAGTTTCAGAGTGCCATTAACAGGATTAAGCAGGAGGAGCAAAAGCGACCTGCTGCTTTGCTTACCTCTTAGAGAGATAGATTGAGGTGATATGTAAATGAAACATAAAGTGTTCTTTTGCTTTGGCCTTTTCCTGGCTTTGGAATTATAATGAATAAAGTTATGGGTGACTAGTTTTCTTAATTTTGTGGAAGTGTTTGAAAAAAACGAATTATCTCCGCAACAAGGATAATATTAAGATATAAAAAACTTTAATATTAAGATATAAATAACTTAGAAAAGGAGAAATAAAATGAAAAAAGTTGTATGGTATTGTAAACGTTGACATATAAGACCCTGCCACACACAATAACATGAGTCCTCAAAATATCACTGTTGACTTCAACCCAAATCTCAGGGTGGGATTGGAGTTTACCCGGCTAATTTTTTGCATAGAAGGTTATCGGTGGTGTCAAAATTTTGCTTTTCCCTTTTTTTCTCTTTTCTCTAAAAACACTCATTTAATGCCCCTAAAGAGTTACTTTGACTTTTGGGTGATGAGATGTATTAGATCACCATCACCGTGCTTCATAAACAGGAAGAAGTTGCAGAGAAAGCTCTCCTCGAAGATTCACTCTGATGTCCAATCCTTTGTGTGCTTTTGCTTCATACTATCCTCATTTTAAGTTGAGCTTCGCTAGAGTAATTGAAGAGAGGAGTTTACTTCTCTAAAAAGATAATGATTTTTAGCTGCAGCCTTCCATTTATGGGATGTATTCAAAAAGGTTTTCTGGCCCGATGCTGAGTTCTTACAAAAAACAATGCTTTAATGGCCGATTAACTTGCCATCGAAGAAAGAGAAGATCTTCAACCCCTAACCTTTAGCCTCAGTTACCGACCCTCTACCTACCCCAAAAAAAGGAAGTTACCGACCCTCTCTCCAATTCTCTCTTCCAATGGCGAAAGGCGCTCCATAAAATCAAGAAAGAGCCATTGGAAGCAGAAAAAAAAAGTCATTGATCCACAGTTTTGAGAGCACGTATATCTTTGGCAAAATTTCGTAACCTTCATTTCATTTTTTTTTTAAGCGAAATAAAAAAATCTATAAAGATTTCGCCCTATCTTTCGTCTTTTATCTCCCTCATTTATTCACTTTTGTCCATAAAAATTAGCCACAATAAACTTTTTTATACCATTTCAACTAAAAACCGTTTTAAAATTTTTTTTAACCCAAAATTTTTTTTAACACACCCCATTATATTTTTTTACCTAAAAACATTTCCCTTAATTTTTTTATTACATTTTTGACCTTTTCAATCCCTTAATCATGTTGAGAGCTCCCTATCATTCTCATATTGGGTTGAAATGGTATAGAAAAATTTATTGAAGGCTCTCTATCTTTCTTATATTGAGTTGAAATGGTATAAATATTTTGGTTGAGATTAATTTTTATGGTCAAAAGTAAATAAATGAGAAAAATAAGAGGTAAGGGGGTTATAATGAAATCCTTAACGATTTTTCAAGATGGAAAATTAGGTTTTTGTACGAAAATTTTCCTATCTCTTATACCTTTTACTCTCATATCACTCGCATCCGTAACTCTCTCTTTCCCACCCGTAGTTCCAACCCCATTAACAACTCAGTAATGCTCGTTTCATCCGCCTGTTTCTCTCCATTATATGATTGAACCAAAAAAATCATCCATTTCGGTCCACTTGGACCAACAAAAAACCCTAAATTTACACTGCTCAGTCCGAAGTTGCAGATAAAGGAGTCATCTCCATTAACCCACTTCCCAAAAAACAACCCAGGCGTTGTTGATGCTTTAAAATCCCTCTTCAAAAACCCAGAAGAGGGTAATAACAAAAAAGCCATGAAAATCCTCAGGCGTCTAGTTGAATCTCAGCCCTTCGAGCTTCAATGGAAGTTCCTCATGGTGAGGCTCCTCAACGAGATGGAAGTCGGGGCGAGAGAGGGAGTTAGGATGTGAAGTGAGAGATGGGAGAAGAGAGTATCACGGGTGGGTTTGGGTTGAGAAAGAGTGGTATGAGAGAGAAAAGTACAGAGCTTGTGTTAGGGCACTAGATGGGTTTTTGAGGGAAGAGGGAAAGAGTGAAGAAATGGCATGAGAGAGCAAGTTAGCCGGTGAACCCCAATCTCAGTATTGAGATTTGGGTTATGGTGATATCTAAAGAGCTATGTCATTGTGTGTGGCAAGGTCTTATACTATCTTACTCATCTAGAAAAGCAAAATAAAAAGTGTAATGATCATATGAGACCTTACCACATCTATTAACGATGGACCCTAACACTCCAAATTTCAATGTGACATTTTGATCCCCTCCCCATCTTTCTTTTAAAAAACAGGTTTTTTTAAGTAACTCTTCTTCTCTTCCTTCATTTGTACTCTCTCGCTCTCCCCTTTTCTCTCTCTCTCGCTATTTGAGCTTTGAAACCTTGAACCTGATTTTTGTAGTGGGGACAGTAAAATTGGATTATAAAGGATGGGTTGTGGTTTTCCCTTTTTTTATTTTTTTTGTGATTTTCTCATTGAGGGGTTTGATGAGCTTGTTAAAAAATACATATGCGATTTCCCTCTCCGGGTGGAGATAAACTATGAGTTTTGGTAATGCACTATACCATCATAATGTCATATATCCAATAGAAAATAAAATAAAGGTGATTTTGGAGTGGGATTTTTGACCTCGAAATTGATTGGCGAGCCATTGAGTATATGATTCATATGAAATTTTGAAGAAAATTCTGTGTACAATTTTAAAGAATCCAAGTTGTAAACTTGGTTTATTTTTTTTATGAAGTATGTTATTGTTCTTTTGTGTGATAATGTTGGTGAATCGTATAACTACAAATGTCTTCAAACCCTTTATTACTTTTCTTTTTTACTATCAAAGATGGAATCGACCATTTCGATATATAGAAAATGATCAATTTGCAAATACTATAAGAAATGAAATGTCCCAATATTTTTTTAACACATGTCCAAGTGATGGAAAACGAGTAATCTCTTTCACATATCCTCCCAGTTTGTCAGTTTTTGGGGAAATGATACAAAAAAAAATGTCTTTATGCTGTATGAAAGAACTATATTCCAAAGACACTAATCTGTATAATCGTTGTGTTTCTACAAATGAACAAAAAAGGGATAAGGTAAGCAAGGAGTTCATAAATCGAATAGAAGCTCTATAGGATCTGCTCAAGGACCCACCGGTTTAGGTTAATATCTATTTTAGTATAGTATTCATATTTAGATTTCGGGACGGAAGAATTTGGATCGATCAATTCTAAGGCAAGCCAAAGGACCATCAGAGGTCTTTAAGGCAAGTAAAAGGAAGTTGGATTTGGAATTATTCTTGATAATTTGACATTGGGTATAATGCCCTGTGAGAAAAGCTCAAGCTCCCCAAAAACTCTATACAGTGGAGGAGAGTAATTTTTGAAAGAAAGACCTATGTGATCTTTTAGTGGGGAAATACAATTTTTTTTTTTTTAATAATAATCACCCCTTATAATTTTGGCAACAAGATCACTCACAGATGGTCTTATTACAAACAATAGAAATTCCAAAAATAAATAACACAACAATAAAATAAATCTCAACTACTTGATACCATTCATACAACTTAATACTGTGCTTGAGAATATAAAATAAAAGAACAAACAAATAAAAGAAAAGACGTTGGAGATTACCTCAACCAGGCTTTTTACACCCCACACTGAGTCACCACATCCAATGGCGCGAGATCTGTGGTCTAGCTTCAATCTTGAATCAGGATAGCTGATTTCGGCCAAACATGGTAACCATCCCTTAAAATCTCTACTAAACCTTAACCACCAAAATTAACTTAGGTCCCCTTTAATTTTTCCATCCCTTAAAATTAACTTAGGTCTAGAGATGAGAGAGAGTACTACCTAAGGTTTTGGAGAGAGAAAATTAGAGAGAGAAATATGGAGGAGAAAGAGTGGGGTGTGCCCCTCTAGGAGAGAGACAGAGATGATGGGAGAGAGAGAGGTTGTGTAGAGATTGGGGAAGAGCACCCCTATTTATAATGGATATTTAGGTTTAGGGTTTCTTAGGGTTTTCCCATAGTTTGTCTCTTTTATGAGATTGAATCTATACCGTTGATCAAGGTGACTTGTGGGGTGAGAGATCTGAGCCAATCATTCCATAGATGGGCCATCAAGATTATGGAAGGTGCTTGAACCGCTATCCCCCTTTCTTTAAATCATTTTCCCATTAATATATTTAAATAAAATAAATATCATGCATTCCTAAAATTGCATGATCCATGTCACATATTCCATAAGGATATGTCAAATATTATCAAACAAATAAATACTACCAAATATAAATAAGATAAGGTCAACATTTACTATCTATTCAAATTGACCATATCCCTTTAAAAAAAAACTTGCTATAAAACAAATAAAGCCATGGTCAATATTTCCCTTCCAAGATTTGACCACATACCACAAATCAAACTTACCTTAACTTAAAGTCTTGAACACAAAGCAATTAAAGAGAATCCAAAGGGTGGGTTGTGCCACCCCTTTGTGGCACATGTGGGCCCCCACCCACATGTCACATGGTGGGTCCATGTGCAATTTGGAAACCCATGGAGTTTTATAAAAAAAATTTAAAATTAAATAAAAAAATAATATATATTTGAATTTTAACTACGTCGTAAAATCAATAATTGTATTTTTATAAGTCCAAAAGTCATAATTAAAATATTGAGAGATTCATAAAAAATAATAAAACTAAAATCATTTCAATAATAAAATGAACACAATTAAATTAATATGATGGAAAAAATGATCCATATGGTTTTAAGAATTCAATCTGTAATAATGAGGTACTCCACCTTCAACTGTAGACTACAGACCACACTAGCTTTATTGGACCGACCCAGTGTTCCCATGACCCACAGTCCAAGCTGGGGCTCATTAACGGGTCACCAAAGTTAGATCGATGAATCAAGGGGTCGTAATATCAGTCTCGCTACGTTTTCCTTTTACTCAGCCGGCGCTACATTTTCCTCTTACCTTCTTTTTTCTGCTCCTTCGTCACTGACGGTGTTTAGCTCCCATGCGTAACAATGCCTTAGACCACAATACACCCGTGGGTGATATGCTCTCGGCAATACGCCAGACGGTGATACGCTCGCGATGATGCTTATGCGCGA